TCGCAATGGTTCTCTAACTTATGACGGCTCATGATCAATCCAGTAACTTATATTATTGCGTTGTATACTTTGTTGGATAAAAAGTAGTGATCTCTTTGTGTTAGAACAGGTGCCACAATGATGATGCCGTCTATTCCACTCTGATATTTATTATTTGGAAAGTAGTCAATCACAGTGTAGTCTAGCACATGAGCGCCTCTCTGTTCGTGATTGAAACACCCTACTGTCTTAAATCAAGACAGAAAGCATCGTTTTAGTAGTCCATTTACTTATAACCAGCGAGTCACGGGTTTGAACCCCGTTCCACCTGCTGATGTTTCGGTAGCCTTCACACACAATAAGTAACATCTCCATTTGAAAACAGAAACTAGTTACTTCAGTTCAGTTAAACAAACTACGATAAATTCAGGTTTCAATCAATAAAAATATAATTTTCAAGTTTTAGTTTGCGGGGATTTTTTTTGGTTTTTGATTACAGCTTGATTTCACACCGCATTTTCGGTACAAGTATGGAATTTTCAGCATGTGATATCGATAGCCCGAATTTTGCAGGCCGACCACTGATATCAGGTGTGCGTCGGCAGGGGATCGAACCTCAGACCATGTGCATGGTCGACGAGAGTCCTAACCACTGTGCTACCCACGCATTGGTTTTCATTGGTTTCAAGTTTAATCACGCACTAATATCAGTCAGAGGATCATTGAAAACTGCAGTGTTCTGGACAGATGTTTCGTCAGTAGTACGCAACCCTCACTGCCCCCAGAAACTGAACCTGGGACATCCAGGCTATTAGGCCAAGCTCGTTGACTATCCAGTCAGTTGGGCCGAAATTCAAAGATCACACTTGAAATAAAAAGTAAGTCATCTGTCAAGCTAGAAGTAACTAGTGTAGCTCAATATTTTGGCAGATAAAACTTTAGCATTTAGAACCTTCAACTCCTGGATTCCAGTTTATTGAGGCCATGCACCATTCACTGAGATTTAGACTTGCCTTAAGCAGGACAAAAACAGACTCCTGAATTTCAAACAACATAAAACAGTGAGATAACTTTCACAAAAATATATGACAATATCCAAGATCCAGGATAAAACTTGGCGCACTAAAGAATATAACTGTTATTCCCTTGGGTTATGAGCAGAAGATAGGGCTTCAATAGCAGCGCATCTCCATTTTGTCTTGTTCTCTCCAGTCCCCTTTAGCTGGCTGGCTCCACGACTGCCTATAAACTAGCATCTCCCCCTCACACAGTCTACTCCATATCGCTATCAGACTCAAGTACAACTCGTTGTTTCCCACTTTGCTTCCGTTTGAGAGCTTGGGGCATGATTTCATTCAGCCGTCTCCTCAGCGTGTGTCCAATCCATCTCCATTTCCTTCAGTATATTAGTTGGGCAGCGAATTCTTGGTTTGTTCAACGCAATAGTTTCTTGTTGCTTATTATTTCCAGCCGACCGGCCATCAGATCTTCAATATAGAGCCAGCGAAGGCAGATGATGGGGAAAGTCTTCAGCAACCTGTTGGAAATGCCCTTGGTGATGCTTGTACTAAGTCTCTGAACCATTTAGAAGAATTGACTTGATACTGATGCTGAAAATCCGAATCTTGTGCTTTATGCTGAAAGCAGCAGGTTCCCACTCTGATTTCAGAACAATAAATGTCTGTCTTGCTTTCCAAATCCTGCCTGGCTTTGAGATCCCCATTCGTGCTGCCTGTCTGTAGTTAAAATGATGCTACCTAAGCAACAGAAAGAGGAGGCTTCCTTTAGATTTCTCTGGTTGGTAGTAATTGGTGTTTGTCCTTGTTGCTAGTTAGACATGTTCGCTTGGAGTCCTGTCCTCACTGCCTGTTCTGTCAACCTGTTGGTTCTCGTCTGTAAATCTTTGAGCTTGTGTGACAGTAGACGTAAATCATCTGTAAAGTTAAGACATTCTAGAATCGCCTTATTGGTCCAATGTATGCCCATCTTGTCGCTCCTCATGGTCTGTTGCATAATCCAGTTCACCAAAATCAGGAATACTATCAGTGATATTAGCACTAAAGAATAATCGAAGTGAAAATATATGCTACATAATTATTAGTATATTGGTGGGCATTACAAATCCACTTTCACCGTCTAGGAATTATCTTCATAGACAATACGTCAGTTATCAAGTCAATAATAATTGGAGCAGAAGTTGATGTTGGTTGAAATTAGTTTGATGTAGACTATCCCAGTCATCTAAATAAAGTTCTTCTGTATTATGAGATGCCGTTTGTTCACACGACATATTGCGTGGCAAATCTCTTAGGTACTCGACTTGAATGGTCGTCTAATCTGCGAAAGTATTTAACCTTGGCTATCATCTAAACATTGTGATAAATTGCAACAGAAACAAAAATTTTCAAGTATTGGTTTTGTAGGCATTCTGTTTGATTGGTTGGAGGATGTCATCATGAGCTGAAATCAGTTAGAGAACCATTGGAAAACTAGTACTGGAGTACTGGACAGATGTTTCGTCCACCTAGTTTGCGACTCTTCATCAGTACGCACCCACTGCCAGGGTTCGAACCCAGTACCTTCTGGTTACAAGGCGAGATAGCTCGTAGATCATTAAGCCATTGGGACTGTGAAGAGTCCTAAACTAGGACGAAACAGCTGACCAGTACTCCCAGGTTTTTTAATGGTTCTCTAACTGATGTCAACTCATGATGAAATCTTCCAACCAGTCAAACAAACAAAACAAACCCTACAAAACCAATACTTGAAAATTGATATGATGCTCACTAGTGACTGGTCCTATTCAAGCAGTTAATCTGGGGTTCTGGTGGGAAGCTGTGACCATTAAGGTGCAGCAGGTTGAAGATGAGGCAGTAATTCATCGAAGAAGACATTGTGAAGTGGTCGCGCTATGCGGTGAATTGGCTGAAGTTAGAATCCATGGGCTGGTCATTGAATCACGTCCCAATATCTTAATGGTCTACGAGCTAGCTCGCCTTGTAACCAGAAGGTCCTGAGTGTTTACTGTTAAGAGTCGCAAACTAGGTGGACGAAACAGCTGTCCAGTACTCCCTGCTGGTTTTTCAATGGTTCTCTAACCAAACAAACGAAAATGACGAACAATCATCATAAAAAAACACAAATTTCATTGTCTCAAACGGGTGTAAATCGGTAATGAGTATTTACTTTCAAACGTAAAGTGCCAATTCATCATTGAAAGGAGTCGCCTGTCTGTCCAGTATCAGCACGGATGAGGATGTCAAAACCAGCCAGAAGTGGAAAGCCAAGACAGATATTTATCACTCTGGAATCACTTAGCACAAAGAACGAAATTCGAATTTTCAACATCAATCCTTCTATATGTGTCAGAAACTTGGTGCGCGCGCCACGAGAAACATTTCCAACAGATTGTTGAAGGCTTTCATCAACAGATGCCTTCTCTGGCCTGTATACTTAAGATCACATGTCCGGCTGGCCGGAAAGAATTAGCAACAAGAAACCCTCGGAACGCACTGACCGAGGACCTATTACTCAACAAATATGATCCAAGAAAATGAAGATGGATTGGACACAAGGAGAAAGAGACCGTTGGGTAACATCGTGTGTGTGTGTGTGTAGGACCTCGGGAGAAACCCAAACAGGAAACGAGTTGGGCATCTCTTCGAGGATGGTATGGAAGAGATCGTGTGAGGAGGAGATAAGAGCCTATGGGCAATTGTAGAGCCAACTAAAGAGGACAAAATGGAGATGTGCCTCTGTTGAAGTCCCATGTTCCACTCTGATTCCAAGGGAATAATAATAATGATAACCAGTATCTTTATCTGAATTATCTCATCACGAGGTGACATTAGTTAAAGAACCACTGGAAAACCTGGGAGTACTGTACAGATGTTTCGTCCCAGTCTGGGACTCTTCATCAGTAGGCATCCACCGGGATTCAAACCCAGGACCTTCTGGTTACAAGGTGAGCTCGTAGACCATTAAGCCAGTGGGACCCGATCCAATGACCTATGAATTCTAACTTCTGCCAATTCACGGCATAGTGCGACCCCTAGCCAATGTCTTCGGCGAGTATTTGTCCTCACACCCGACCTGCTGCACCCTACTGATCACAACTTCTCACTAGAACCCCAGGCTAGGGGTCGCGCTATGTCATGAATTGGCAGAAGTTAGAATTCATGGGCCATTGGATCGGATCCCAGTGGCTTAATGGTCTACGAGCCCGCCTTGTAACCAGAAGGTCCTGGGTTGGAATCCCGGTGGGTGCGTACTGATGAAGAGTTCCAAACCCAGGCGAAATACCTGTCCAGTACTCCAAGGTGGTTTTCCAATGGTTCTCTAACTGATGTCACCTCATGATGAAATCATGTAACCAATCAAATCTCTAAAAACCAACACTATATAAGGAATTATCTATTCAGAATTTCTTAATTTATCCCTTCAATCCAAAATGGGAAAGATCACAAATTTTCCTGCTTGACCTAAACACTTATCCCGTGATCACTTCATTAGTTGAATAATCCAATAACTATCTATGATACTTACAGTGCTACGCAATAGGTTAGGGATTGAAAAGGATAAAGAAAAAAATAGGAAAGAATTAATTACGCACACACACTATACCATTATAATGAAGTAATAATAATAATATTTGATTTTCCTTTCATTTCATTGCTGTTCCCCTACTCCCACCCATTATTAGCAAACAGTGACATATACACCTTTAATGTCTATAGTGTCATTGTAGTAGCGATGTGATAGAATATTTTAATCTAATCGGTTTCTGGATTGGCGAAATATCGAACCAGGGATAACCAGATATACATCCATTCATTCCACCTGCAGTGGGTGGAAAACCCACACAACCTTGAAAGAACCATGTATATGGATGGGCTAGAATTAGTACGTAGGTGGTGGCATTGTGTATATCATACAAACACACACACACATACACACATGTTCTTCCTACAGTATATATCCATTAGTTTCAGGAGTGAATTCAGTACATAGTACCATGATGTATCTTTAAAGTAGATGTTTATTCTTATGAGAATGAGCAAATTAACCTTTCCCTGGATATATTCCTCAGCTAAAGAACAACGATAATGAACAACAAAAGTTTGGAAGGTAGAAATATTCGAGTCACTGTGCACAGTAGTGGTCCACAGATCAATATTCTTAGGAGATCTGCGTCACCACAAGGCGGAGGAAGAATAAAACTATCCTATTTTCGACATGGATCAGTATCACCACCTCGAACGACAACTGCTAATTACAATACAACGTCGTCACAAGTTAGATGTATTCGACGTCAGAATAGTCTAGTGATACAAAGAAAACCCACTACAAATCATTCTTCATACGACATGAATCTTATTAAATGTCAACAAAATACACAACCAACACGACTCGTAATGGACATACAACATACAAGTGGAATGACAAACGCAGGACGTCTGAAAAATAACCAATACGAAAGATCAATGCAGAATACAGCTCTCACCCCAAATACCAATGGTAGTAGTAGTATAGCAATCATGATTGGCGCATCTAACGCCTCAACAACTTCCAATAGAATAGTATCAGACAACAATAATAATAATAATAAATGGTTAAATCGTGACTCATCATCATTATCAAATAGTAATCCAGTCTCGCCAATAGTCCGGATTGGAGAACAAAGTTTATATGACCTTGGTATATCGGTCGATAGAAATTCAGTCTCTCTCTCACCTAGTCAGACTGACAATCAAACTGCTGGACTGAATTTCTCTGCCCTACCAAGGTTGTCTGATGCATCGTCAATAATACAACAGCCTATTGTTCGTTGTCCTGTTTCTCCAGTTGCAATTTCAATTAGTGGTTCAGCTACATTATTTTTAACTGGAAATAATAGTGGTACTATTTCGTTGTACCAAAAATCTAGTAACAATAATAATAATAATAATGAACAGATTACGCAACAAGTCTCGCCAACAAGTGTAAATGTCCATGTAAATAGTCGTCGACCCCCACTGCCTCGTTTTGAATCTACTTGTAACAAGAAAGGTGGTCATAGTGTGGTGCGTATTACTGCACTGCATAATTTACGTCCTACTATTACTACTACTACTACCCCGGTAAAATTTTCCCCCAGTGTGCGAAATCGTCCAGAATTATTGCGGCCATCCGGTTCCTATGATAACTTATTATGCAACGGTGCAGTACGACGTTGTAGTTTAACGGAACAAAGTTTTCAGCGTCCTAAATTACGGTGTTTCAGTGTACTAACTACTAACACATCCTCCTCCTCCTCTTCGAATCCATCTCAACGATTTTTTCACTCATCTTCTGATCATTACGTGAACGCCATGCCCAATGCTCAGTCTATGGGAATTGAAGATATTATAAAACCGAATTGTTCACCACAGGCTCGATTGTCAACGCCCACAATGATTAACGAAACCTCTGAACAAGGAAGTCAGGATTTACGAATGTTGTTAAATTCTCGAAGACCACGGAATAGTGTTTCATCTATGCGTCAACAAAATATGACACCCGGTGGAAATAAGATTACAACGTCTAATACGTCGGATCAATTGAGAAATATTCGTTCTAGTGTTTCTGGAAATAATCCAAATTATTTTCGAATACAAATCCCCAGTACACGTGCAATATCTCGACCTAAAGGATTTGCTATGACGGATAGTCTTAAACTGTATGAAGAGCAGATTTTCAGTCATTGTCAACCACATCAACGACCACAGTCGTGGTGTTTGGATTTTGATCAACCCCGTGATGAACATAATCCAGTGGATGATTCACATTCTAGTTCCCCAGCGTCCACGGTATCATCATCATTCTCTTCCTCATCCTCGTCTGATACTTCCCAGTTATTATCATCATCACATAATCATGCTGATCTCAGAAGGATCAGAAATCCTCCTTATTACAGTAAGTACTTTCATACTGATTTCTGAATGTTTCTAATGTTTGTAAGTTGCCTATTCTTATTTTGTCTTGTCAAAGTGAAAGAACCACATACATCTTTATTCATCGGTCTGAAAACGTAGGACTATAAGTCGTAAATTTGTCTTCTAAAGATTTCCCCCACTGTTTATGATATGAACAGCAATATAAATTGGTTGTAAACTCACTAAGTAGTTAATCTTGCACTTCCCCTGACATAGAGTCAGGCTGGAAAAGAGCTAGTGGCGGTCAAACCAAAACATGGCACCAGTCAATGAAATCTACAACAGTTAGTTTAAGTCACGTAGGAAGGTGTAGACTTCCTGACTAGTTGGGGTCCTCGGGACGGTAAAAACCAATGGCTGGAAACAATTGGTGATATGGCTAGCTCAAAATCGTTCTCAATGGCTGGCTCAGATGCATCCACTCCTTGTGACTTATGATTTCCAATGAAACTATATTGTTCTTCGTTATTACTATTCCTTTGTCTCACACCTCTGTTTACTGTCTATATTATGCATTTCTCCTACTTTCTTCTCTTGCTTTGTGTGCTACATGGAGGGAGTGTGGCGACTTGAACTGCCGCACATATGTGCAAAGTTCTATGTCGAAAACAGACAAAAGACTTCGCCCTTGGAAAATGTGGGATTTCCAAGACTTCGTTTTCAGGGATTTGATCGAATTCAAGATTGATCACGAACTGATATGAGTTGGAGAACGATTGAAAATCAGAGAGTACTGAACAGTTACTCCGTGTGCGTTCAAGACTCTTCCGCAATAGGTACCTATGACCCCACTGCCAAGGATCGAACTCGGGACCCTCAAGTTACACTTTAAAAAAGTAGTCAACGTGCTCGCCTTATAACTCGAGGGTCCTGGGTTTGATCCCTGGTAGTGGGATCATGAGTGCCTGTTGCAGAAGAGTCCCGAACAAGGACGAAACAGCTGTCCAGCACTCCTCCTTGGTGGTTTCCAATGTCTTTTTAACTGAAATCAGTTTGTGATCAATCTTGAAAATGTAGAAATTATTGTTAGTTGTTCATTTCCGAATTCGCCCACACTGTTTATCCATCATTTTAAAGTAGACGCACATGTATTATTTGAATTTCTATGGCGTATATTCTGCTTATGATATATGCATAGGTAACTGTGTAAAGTTAATGAACCAGAATCAATGAAAGAGCATGAATGAATCGGAGAATACGAAGTAGAATTGACTAGTATCAAAGGTATCAGTGACTGAGTGCCAAAGATTAGGGTTAGAAATTAGCATAGGAGTTTCTGTTTAGTTTTTATCAGTAACTGTTGAAAATCTCGCCGATCTCCGGGTCGTCATTAACACAGACCTAACTACATTTAGTTGTAAGATTTGATAGTGTGGAATATTCCCATATTATTAATTAAAAGTCAATCTGAACGAAGAATATTCTTTTCAATAATTTCTCTTCAGCTTCTTACAATTATAAAATATAATATATTTGTTGTCGTTACAATAAAGGCCAGTTATGCGGCGGATACATTTTTAACGTAGAATAACAGATTAGTTATGGGGTGTCAAAATAAATAGTCGTATTTGTGTGACAAACGTGCTAGGCTGAAATCGATTACAAAATATTGTAAAACGGGAGACAATGGTGCTTAAAAAGCTCGATCCTGTCACACTTGGTTGATACTGGACATCGTATTGATGTCAATACAGCTTCCAGGGTTATATTCCGAATTCGTTGCCACGTACAGTTCGCTTACGTCCCATACACATAGTTGAAGCTAAACCGGAACTTTGTATCCAAAAAGAACACGTCCAGACGCTGCTCTTACCGTGGCCAACCTTGGATTGATGATTCTTCTTCTCACCAAGAGTGCTCCTTCCCCTTAACCCTCTTGGGTATTTTTCCTTTGCTTATTATTATTCGTCATAATTTATGCCCTTCATGCAAACATTCTCTCAATACTATCGAATTTTTCATTTATACTATCCGGACTTATTATTAGTGATATTATCTCTTTTCTCAATATATGCCTCCACCTGTTTCATTTCACATATTCGTTATTTCATTATGAACCTTTCATTGCAGTCTTACTATCTCCTGTTTAACACAGACCACTTTGTACTAGCCACTCACCTGACACCTTTTATAACCTTGAACTGACTTGTCAATTTTCCTACCCCACACTCTACAAATCTATTATGACTAATCACCAGCATTGTCTCCCATTTCACAGTGTTTTGTAATCGATTTCAGCGTAGTACGTTTGTCACACAAATACGACTATTTATTTTGACACCCCGTAACTAATCTGTTATTCTACGTTAAAAATGTATCCGTCGCATAACTGGCCTTTATTGTAACGACAACAAATATTATATTTTACATTTAGTTAGTCTCAAATAGTCTGGAAGAAAACTTTCTTTTTACCTATTTACTCGTAGATTTTCAGCCATATTGTGCATTTTTAACCTTTCAGTGATACACTTTAATATTATTACTGCTGTGTGATATTTGTTATGCACTTTAAATATATGATTGAGTTAAAACGAGTACCATACATTCTATTCTTGAATCATTTCATAGTACCAGCGTACTTCCTGTGCCTTATTTGTCTCATCATCCGTCACGGATTTTAGCCAATTATCCCGCGTTACTTAAGAGATGGTTGTCTTAGGCCGGTGACCTAATGGATAACAGTTTGGTGTTTAAAATGGTGAATGCTAGGTCAGAGGCTCAGTGCGAACACCATTACTCACTGGGAATATCGACAGACACATAAAGTTGACGAATCTTGAAAAAGGACGAAACACGTGTCTTGATTCTATCGCTAGATATCATTAACTAAATAATACTATGGTAAAACGTAAATACAAAGAAACAGTATGTATTGGTCGTATCTGTTGGTATTATTAACCACGTCATCCTAGATTCTGCATTGGTTGTATCTTACCTTCCTGCATTGCTGTTTAACTATGTATCTTTGAAATTTCATACTAGTCTTCTACATGTGCATCTTTAAAGACATTTATTATTACTTAGTAGCAATTCATTATGACGATGACGCCATTTGATAGCCATGTACATGATTAAGTGGCTTATTTTCCAGTCATTTGGGCCCAGATTCAAGTCTCATTCCACTTCCTTCAGTAGTACCATAAATTTTTTTACACTATAAATGTGATTTATAACATGGGACATGGAGTCAGAAAAATGGAACACTGATTATTCACTAACTGGTTAACATTTAAATAAAGTATAATTATATTTCAATAGTTTACACACACTGATAAGTTTTGTTATTGGTAATATTTCGAGCAAAATTACTGCTCGTGTTCACACCACTGTTGGAAATTGTTTTATTCACACATTTATGATTTGTACTCATATTATATAGTTCATTATTTTTGTTCATTCATGTTTTTGTATTCAGAATTATATTCCAAGTTGTTGATAGTTGTACTGAGTCACACATTCTTCCAATTGAAATTGTGGTTTTTGTCCCATGCATGTGCAGCTATCGAATTTTTTTCAAGATTCTTGTAGGCTAGTGTTCCTGTTGGTTGACCTTTGGTTAGGCGTTTATGTTCATTCACTCTTATTTTGAGTGATCTGGACGTTTGCCCCACATATTTAGTCGGACAGTCAGCACAAGATATTTTGTAAATCAAGTTGTTTTTATCCATCATTTTTATGGGATCTTTCAGTTGATTTATTTTATTTCTGATTAGATTTGTCGGTTTAAAAGTTGTGTGAATGTCGATATTTTTGAGGTTTCTTTGAATTGCCTCTGATGTACCATTTTTATATGGTATTGTGACTGTTTTTTTGCATTCTTCCATCTTGTTATTCTCCGGTTTTACTCTCTTCTCTCTTTTTTATATTATCTTTTATAAATTCTTTTGGGTAGTTGTTTTCGAGTAGCATTTTGAATAGGACGTTTATTTCTTTACACTGGTCCTCTGGCGTTGTTGTAAGTCTACGTATTCTATCTGCAAGACCTTGTATTAATCCTCGTTTTACTGTGAATGGATGAGCTGAGTGATAATCAAGGAATCTTCCAGTGTGTGGTTTTCCTATATAGCGTCGTTTTAATGCTACCGTCTGTTATTCTTTGTATTTTTCAGTCTAACATAGGCAGTTCCCCAATTTCATTCTCTACTTCCATAGTGAATTTTATTGAGTCGACAAGGCTGTTTATGTGTGAGAAGAGTTTCTCAATGTCGTTTTTTTCACTATTACTAGTGTGTCGTCTACATATCTCCACCAACATTTTAGTGATGACCTGAATGGTTTAAGGGCACTCTCTTCCCATTAATCCCTGAATATGTCAGCTATTATTCGTGAGATAGGCGATCCCATGGCTACTCCTTCATTTTGTTGGTATATTTTCCTTCGAATGTGAAATATGTTGGTGAGGTAGAATTCCTAGTCTTGATTCTCTTTTTGATGTAGACCAATGCCAAAATCCAGTGAGCTACAATACTGTATTAGGCAATCGAAGATTTTAATTCCTTTTCCAGTTCTCCGTATTCATTGTAAGAGTAATCTAATATCACAATAAAGAAAAAAAAGAGGCAATTCAATTTGTTACCGTCGTCTGACTGACTGAGTTTCACCGATATAAGAATGGAACTTGGGCGCTATTATGGGTTCCGAGTAGAACATGGGGCTTCAACAACACCTCTCCACTTTGTTCTATTTTCTCCTGTCCTCTTCAGCTGACTAGCTACACGAATCCCCATATTCTCTTATCTCTTCCTCCAACTCACGCGATCTCCTCTATGTTACCCTCGCACCGATGGCCCACTCGCTGCTTCCCATTGGGATTCCACTCGGGCGATAGCCTACATTGTGCGCGATGTCATTTGATGGCCTCATGAACCAGAGTATGCCCCGATCAATCTCCATTCTCTCTTACATATTTGTTAAGCAGTTGGTTCTTGATTTGTTTGTTCCGAGGTAGACTTTTTTGTTGCTAATTGTTTCTCGCCGGCC